ATTTATGTGTACTTTTGAGACAGAAATAGACAGACGGAGACAGAGATAGACAGATGGAGATCGAGACAGCCAAAGTCAATCAGCCAGCCAGCCATCCAGTCGACCTGCCAAACACGTATTACATGTTCCCAAATTGTTCCTCTTTACTTTGGGCATGCATAGGCTATAGGACATTCTGGCAGGATGACACTACCAGTGTTATCAAAATCGAAAGGACGTTGCACAAATATTACATATGGGTTACTACTGAGGTTTTTGATACTTCCTCGACCACTTGTGGCCACATCCATCTCAAAGACACTAAACTCAGGGTCAGCATTACTTTCCTCTTAAAAGGGGTGTTAATACGACATGACATCAGAGAATCCCTGGTGTTTGCCATGCTGTTTACTCTAGCTGGTGCTCCCACAAGGTATTAAGAGGTCCCAGATTTTTTTAATACTGCACACGCCGAGTGTTAAGATGCATTCTATACTGACCAGGCATCTCAGGCCAATCGTGCCAAATTTGGAGGCAGGAAAAATAAAACATTGATCTGTGTTTGGAGCGCTAGCAGTAACAATACTGATCTATGTTTGGACAGTTAAGGGGTTAAAGGAGGGGTTTGAGATATTGGCAGTTTGGAGGAACATCTAAACTGTTGTATGTGAGTGCCTCTGCAAAGACAGTGAAAATTTTGGATGATGAAAATTTTTCTTTCTTTTTGGGTTTTTCTTTCTTTTTGGGTCACCCTGCCTCTGTGAGAAACGGCCAACGTGATAAAGAACAAAAAAAGTTCATCCAATGTGAATTCTTTTGTGAGCGCAGCATTTTCTTCTTTATTTTGCTCTGTTTCTATGTATAAATGTTGCTGATCCATTTCCACAAGTGTTGCATCATCAAGGTCACTGGAGTGTGAGTCAAAGCACTGACACATTTTCAAAATCCAAAGTTTCTAATCTGAGCTTTCCCAAGCTGCACAATGCTTTCATAAAGTTTCAATATGGGATTCAAAACTGGAAAAATCATTGAAACAATGTGGTAAAAGAAAATGCCAAACAACTCTCAAGTTTACTTGCAGTTACTTCAAGCCATGATTCACTTATGTTTCCAATTGCATTTTGGATACAGCCCCTCCTCACTTAACGACGGGGTTCCGTTCCTAAGAGTAAGTTGGTAGGGGAATTGGTTGTTAAGCACGGAGCATACTATACTGGTAATGGGTTTGTGTAATGTCACCTTTGCACTATTTATAACATTTCTGGTATATTCTTAAATATTTATACAGTAGTGTACTGTATACTGTAATAAACAGAATAGAGGAAATCAGCTCTAATAAACATTACAGTATTTAGGTTTGCATACTGGCTGGAGAGCTGGTCGTATGTCTGAGTGGTCGGTAAACGAGTACGTCATTAAGTGAGAAGAGGCTGTCCTGTAACTTTTACAAAATTCATTTAAACTTAAGGCATTTTCTTCCATCATTCCTTTTATGGCTTGTGCAAAGGTACATCTTAAAAAAAAAAAAGCTTTAAATGTACCAATAACACCCTGAGCCATTGGCTGCAATAATGATGTCATGTTCGGTAGCAGGAAAATTACACTGAAAGAGAATTAGAATAACCTGGTACATTGTCCAATAAAAAAATTTTAAAATCCATGTCATTATCTTTGCCATAACACTGAACTGCAGGGCAAAAATAATTTGCAAACCAGTCTTCAAACAATTGTCTTATTACACAGGCTTTCTTATTTGACCACCATATAACAGGAATAGCATTTTTTAATAGGATTTAAGAACCCTTGGATTTTTTGCTCTGTACACCAGCATAGGCTTTAAAGTCACCAGATGCAGTCTTGGGAGACTTTATATCCTATTTGCGATGTTTTTTTTTTTTTTGCCAGATAAGTGCAAGACAGCACCTTCTTCTAAAACAAACCTGTTTTGTCTACGTTAAAAATTTGCTCATCTTTGTAGCTATTTTCTTCAATCAATTTTTTTCGATCATTAGGAAATCTTGCAGCTGCTTCATTGTCCACAATGGTACTTTGACCAGTGATTTGAACATTATGGAGTCCCATGTGTTTTTTGAAGTTATAAAACCAGCCACAACTTGCCAAAAACTTTCCCCTTCATTGCCCCTTTTCTTTTTTTAACAATGAATAGAGACTTGTTGTTTTAGCTTGAATCGTCATCTGACTTAATGGAATTCGTTTCTGGCTGCAGTCTTCAATCCATAACAATAAAAGATGTTCCATTTATCCATTGCAGAACTATGATTTTTAACGATCACTTTTGACATATAAGATGCTGTAGTCATTCCATGTCTCTTTATTTTATCTATGTTCCTTATGTGCACAAGTGCCAAAGCTTTGTTCATTTTCTTCTCACGTGCTTTTCAGCATACGATACACCATCTTCACGTTTCATAATTTCTAGTTTTTCATCTAATTTTAACCATTTATATTTACTAGCATGCTCAGCATCACTACATTTCCTCTTTCTACTCAAATCTGCGTATAAAAGGGGTACCAATACGTACTTAATATAATAAAGAAAAAAATTGTGTATACAGTGAACCCCCGGTTAACGATATTTTTTCACTCCAGAAGTATGTTCAGGTGCCAGTACTGACCGAATTTGTTCCCATAAGGAATATTGTGAAGTAGATTAGTCCATTTCAGACCCCCAAACATACACGTACAAACGCAATTACATAACTTACATAATTGGTCGCATTCGGAGGTGATCGTTATGCGGGGTCCACTGTATGTATGTACTGTATAAGACTACACAACCCCACTGCCCAGAGTCTGGAACACTACTGATGTTCACATCACACTAGTCTGGTACACAGCAGCAGTCCAACATCAGTGCATAATGCAGTTAAATAAAATTTAAATTATTAAATTTATAAACTGTATTATATCAAAACCCATACCGTTCAAAACTGTACTATGCAAGGTATTACTGTATTACAAGATTCAGATGACTCAGACAAGTGTATATATACAGAAGACCCCTGGTTTTCGTAATTAATCCATTCCAGAAGGTTGGCCTAAATCTGAAATGGCCAAAAACCGAAGAAATATTTTCCATAAGAAATAATGCAAATCCAATTAACCCGTTCCAGACACCCAAAAATATTAACAAAAAATACATTTTTTAAAGAAAAACTATAGTTCTGCATACAGAAAACAATGAGGAATAAATATAAAGCATTAATTTTGATGATAAATAAACATTACATACCTTTATTGAAGATTCTTGTTGGCAAATGGAAGGAAGTGAGAAGAGAAGAGGGAGGAGAGTTTATTGTTTGGAAGGGGAATCCCCCTCCATAAGGACTTCAGGTATCAAAACCCTCTCTGGGGTTACTTCCCTTCTTTGTCTTTTACTGGCACTAAGACCAGCTTGAGAGTCACTGCACCTCTGTCGCACAAAAAATCTGTCCAGAGAGGCCTGTTTCTGGTGTCTCTGTAAGATTTGCCTTACATGAGGCAAGACATTGTCATTGAACATGTTGCAGACACAGCTTGCTTGTTCGCAATAAAGCTAATAGAATCCTTGGCTTCATATCAAGAAGCATAAATAATAGGAGTCCTCAGGTTGTTCTTCAACTCTATACATCCTTGGTTAGGCCTCATTTAGATTATGCTGCACAGTTTTGGTCACCGTATTACAGAATGGATATAAATTCTCTGGAAAATGTACAAAGGAGGATGACAAAGTTGATCCCATATATCAGAAACCTTCCCTATGAGGATAGACTAAGGGCCCTGAATCTGCACTCTCTAGAAAGACGTAGAATTAGGGGGGATATGATTGAGGTGTATAAATGGAAGACAGAATAAATAAAGGGGTTAAATAGTGTGCTGAAAATATCTAGCCTAGACAGGACTCGCAGCAATGGTTTTAAGTTGGAAAAATTCAGATTCAGGAAGGATATAGGAAAGTACTGGTTTGGTAATAGAGTTGTGGATGAGTGGAACAAACTCCCGAGTACAGTTATAGAGGCCAGAACGTTGTGTAGCTTTAAAAATAGGTTGGATAAATACATGAGTGGATGTGGGTGGGTGTGAGTTGGACCTGATAGCTTGTGCTACCAGGTCGGTTGCCGTGTTCCTCCCTTAAGTCAATGTGACCTGACCTGACTAGGTTGGGTGCATTGGCTTAAGCCGGTAGGAGACTTGGACCTGCCTCGCATGGGCCAGTAGGCCTTCTGCAGTGTTCCTTCGTTCTTATGTTCTTATGTTCTTAACAGTTTTGTTAGGGTGGTAATTCTCCACAAAACTTTGTACCTCACTCCACTTTGAACAAATATCCTTAATCCCCCCTCTCTTCCTCCTCTGAAGCAACATCCTCAGCTGCGGACTGTTGCTGTTCCGGTTGAAGGTCTTCCAGCTCTTCAGTGGTTAGCTCTTCCCTGTGGTTCTCCACCAACTCTTCCACATTCTCACCATTCACATCCAACCCCATGGACTTCCCAAAGCCACAATAGATTCCACAACAGGCATAGGGTCATCAGGGTCAGCCTCAAACCCTTCAAAATCCTTCACTGAACTTTCTTTGGCCCCATGGTGGATTATTTCACAGTCAATAAACAATAAACAAGCACAAAAACAATAAAGAAGCACAAAAAACAATGAATGAATGCATGGAGTATTCCTAACTCAACAGAAAGAGACGCAGACCGAGTGTGATATGCGTGAGGCAGCCGCGCTGCGGGCAGGTGAACACATCTCATACCAACAATTTCCGAGTGGATCAATGAAATCCGGGGGAAAATTTCACCAAAAAAAGTGCTCAATTTCCACACCGGCCAAAAACTGGGAGTCCACTGAACACACAAACTTATATACGTATTCACATACATGTAGTGCATGCTAGATGTTTTTACTATCTGTGACTAGTATTTTTTTTCAAACATATGAGAATGAGAAATGAATATCTGCCTGATACATAAGAAAAATAAAATGCAAAATTAAGCCAATATAGTACCAACTTAGATAAAACTTACTTTGGGTGACGGATGTCCTGCAAAGAGCGGTTCAGTGCAATATCATCAGAGGCTCGAGCATTGAACCCATTAACTTTGTAGAGTAGGTCTCTCTCATTCTGGTATTTAGGTGGTAGATTGTAGGCTTGACCTTGCTCACCAGGGCCTATCTGTTTACTCTCTTTAAATAATCTGTCATAATCATGCCAGTCCTTGTATCCTCTTGGTACTACTGGTTCATCTGTGTATTAACACTTATATCAACAAACCTACAATATCAGATGGTCATGCATTTATTAAAATAATCAAGTGGATATTGTACAAACAAAAATCTGTAAGTTATGCATTGCAAAATCTCACCATGGAAAAAAACATTATCTAATAAAAGTTTCTTCTGCTATTGGGCATTTTGTCCTCCAACCAAAGTAATACACAATACTGAACCATTAGTGTGGCACTGAAGAGAACTTAGCATGTGCTACCAGCAGAAACTTAACAAAAGTATTGTATATGACATACAGTACTTTAATCTTAATCTTACTTTACTGAAGATGTGACACCACTCTGCTTTTGCATCTACAAATATGTAATCACTCACATACTCTTTAATAGCCAGTCAATACCCTGAACCTCCACATGAAAAAAAAATACTGTTAAGTCTTGCTATACTCACTTGCTGGTGTAGCAATTATCTTGTGTTCAAGTGCTTTTGCTTGTGGTGTCACTTTTCGAACTTGAACACTAACATCTCTAGCATCATGAAGAGCCTGGCGCACAGTAAAGTATGTCCCCGCTAGGAAAACTAGCAAAGTCAAGGTGATTTTTGTCCACCACATCAAATTGCGTCTGAGCCTCATTCTTGTTAATTCACACTCTAAGAAAACAGAAGCCTGATGCATATTACACATTTCAACAAGAGTTTTCTATGTGGCTATACATTAATATTATTATGATACATTTTATTACAGTACATAAACAAAATATTTACAAGAACAATGAGTTCACCAGAGTTAACAAGAAAACAGACAATAATGAATTTATTATTACATCAATACAGTAATACAATAAATTACAGTGGAACCTCGGTACTTGAACTTAATTCGTTCCAGAAGGCAGTTCAAGTGCCAATCTGTTCGAGTACCAAATGAATGTTTCCCAAGAAGAATAATGTAAATTTGATTAATCTGCTTGAGACCCTCAAAAATACACTTACAGCGACTTTGCGGTGTATTTCCGTATGGTATTTATGATTGTATTTTTGTTTACTTTTTCTCATTTGAATGAAAGATATGGTTTACAGATTAAAAGTACCTTGATATTGAGCTCAAAGTAGTGGAAATCTTCGATTTTTGCTAATGTTCAAATGTAACGCGTCCAATACACATCAATTGGTGGGTTTAATATGCTTTCACAAATGAGCTGATATTATTTATAACATTTTGTCAATAATGCAGTAGTCTGCATAACAGTAAATTTTCTATTTTTTGTGTGACTTAAAATTCAAAATGGAAAGCAAGCGCAATATAAGAGGGGCCCGAAGTGGGAGGAGTTATAGGAGAGGGAGGGAGGGGCCAGCAGAAGGAGCATTCAGTATCTGACAAGTCCTCTTGATAGCTGGATACTAGTGGTGGTACGAATACAATGTTGTGTAATTACGTTAATATTAGTAATATAGGTTATCTATCACATTTATTTCAACTTGATATCAGAAACACGACAGATAACCTAGAAGCACAATAAAGACGCTGAAATTGACCCTTTCAGGGTCCTTCCCGTAGATCTACGGCTTCACGTTGAGTGTCCAAACCGTAGATCTACGCCAAAATTCTAGGGCCATCAAATTTAGCGCAAAAACGCTCATAGGCCTACACGTGAGAGAACGGGTCTGTGTGGTGGGTGTGAGCCACAAACAAAAAATCTAGGTGCCCGCATAGCATTGTGGGAACGCCGGCTCAGTTACCCTTGTTCACCATGCCTCGTCGCAAGGCAGCTCTCACTCCAAGGAAAATTGGGACTCTCCTCTTCCTATCTGATAGTTCTGACAGTGATGGAAGTGGAAATGAAGACAAATTCTTTGGCTCTGATCAGATAGTGACCGAAAGGAATGACTAGGATATCGATAATAGTCCAGAAAACCCTGACGGTCCTCAACCTTCTACCTCTGGTGTGGCACTCGTCAGTCACGGTCAGTTGTACCTCAACGCAAGAGAAAACTATTATTTTCGCGTGGCCAGGCCTCTGACTTCAGTACTGATGATGATAGTGACGTGGATTGTGATTTTATTGCTCTTGACGATCATTCGAGTAGTGATAGTGAGGAAACTTATTCACCAGTGAAGCGTTGGTATCTACGCCGCCGCATGCACTCGGGTAGTGTACCCTATGCTATGCCCAGGGGATGGAGTACATCCTAGAGAACATCCTGGAGTACATTCCGTGGCCCTACACCAGGTACAGACAGTGATAGTGAGGATGATATGGCTGCACTTGGCATGGATAGACCACAGGCATCAGTAGATGGTGGTAGTGGTGATGGTAGTGCCACGGCCATGCGTGACTCACCAGCCCAGGCTGGGACCCACGCTGCTGACTCCGCAGTTCAAGGACAAAGCGGAGCGTCAGCCACCAGCCCACCACAACCACAACTACCCGCACAACCAGCCTATGATGTCCAGTATCCACCAGCAAACCGTATCTGGGATTGGCAGCAAAATCCTAATTTTGTTCCCAAGCCCCACCATTTTGATGACTCTCAAAGTGGAATTCTACCAACTTGTCCCCTTGGAAACACTGCAAATGAACTGGAATTCTTTGAACTATTCTTTGACCAGCCATTGATGGAAACTATTGTCAGGGAAAGTAATAAGTATTTTGAGTACACCATGGCAAATACGATCATATCACCACAGTCAAGACTACACAGGTGGAAAGAGACGACTGTTGCAGAAATGTATTTGCTTTTTGCAACAATGATGCTTATGCCTCATGTCTATAAGCATAATATAAAAGCATACTGGTCCACAGATTGGCTAATTTCTACCCCGGTCTTCAGTGAAATCATCCCAGTGAACAGGTTTATCTTACTGTTACATATGTTGCACTTCTCTGACAAAACCAGGCCTGACAGAAGTGACAGGTTATACAAGACTAGAAATGTTTTTATGTATCTCAAACAAAAGTTCAGCATGTACTTTTATCCATTCAACAATCTTGTAATTGACAAGTCTTTGATTTTGTTCAAAGGTAGGCTGTCATTCAAGCAGTATATAACGAGCAAGAGGAAACGCTTTGGTATAAAACTGTTTGTACTCTGTACCTGTGACAGTGGCCTGGTATTGGATATTGTTGTATACACGGGAAGTAAAACATTGAAAAATACCAAGATGTTAGTGACGTAGTGAGAAGCATGATGGCACCTTATCTCGGTAAGGGGCATACATTATATACAGATAACTGGTACACAAGCCCTTTACTCAGTGATTTCTTGCGAGTGAACAAGACAGATGTGTGTGGCACAGTGCGTTCTAATTGTAAACATATGCCCAGGCTCAACGCAGGTGCTCGTGGTGATGATATGCAGGTGTTTACTGCCAATGACATCATGGCATTACGGTGGCATGACAAACAAGATGTCACATTGTTGACAACCATTCACCGTAACGAAATGCAAGACAGTGGCAAAGTTGATCGAGTGACTAATGAACGTATTCGAAAACCAGTGACAGTGATTGATTATACACAAAACACGCGCTTGGTTGACAAATGTGATATGCAGATTGGCTTTGTTGATTGTGTTCGTAAAAGTTACAAGTGGTACATGAAACTTTTCTTCCATCTCATGGACATTTCAATGCTCAATGCATATAATATGTACCAAATGAAGACTGGCAACAGACCACCGTATGCTGAATTTTGTTTGTCTGTTGTCAGACAACTCATAATGAAGTACCAGATAACAACACCTGCTATACAACAAGGTCCTCAAACTCCTCAGAATATACCCAAGCGTTTGAGGAGGGAAGGTGATCATTTTATAATACAGCTTCCTTCAACTCAGAAGAAATTTGCTCAGAAGAGATGCATTGTCTGTGCACAAACAAAACAACGGCAACAAAGACACAAAGACACTCGGTTTATGTGTGAGGAATGTAAGGTCCCTCTGTGCATGGTGCCTTGTTTCAAGGAGTTCCACAAGCTCCAGCAGTTCTAAAAACCATGTCCAGTGATTGTAAATATGTAAATATATGATAGAACATTAGTATTATACAAGATTTGTGCATGTTTATTGTAATAAACAATAGTGGTAAACAATAATATGATAATAACTTTAGTGCAGTTATTGTGTTCAATACAGTGAGTTTATACATGTAGTATATACATGTATACATTATATACAGTATTGGTCTCTCACGCCCCAAATGTAGTAGGAAAAGAAAAAAATTAGAAAAGAAAAGAAAAAACTACAAAAAATGTTAAATAAAGTAATGCGCGTATGTGGAAATCGTCGATGTTGCCGCCACCACGTCATTTTGGGTCAACTTCTCGGCACTGTATCTCAGTAAGTACTGATCAGAAATTTTTTTTCTCTCTTATTACCTTCACAAAAATATACTCTTTAATTCTGTAATACTCCCTAATACACAACTTTACTTGTATGAATCTTAGTCCTTGCTTCGTCTCTATACATGTAGATGCCTTCCTATCCCACTACACTGTAAAATGCTCCAAACTTCAGAACACCCATGACTTAACCTGATTCCTCCTTTTCCTTCTTCTCCCTCTTCCCCTTTCCTCTTTCCTTTATCTCCTTTGGGTTGTCTTTTTTTTGCCTCGTGTATTTGTTCCTTCATTATTTATGTATTCCCCCCCCCCCCTTGTGTTCTTGCTCTTACCCTCTGTGGGCACCTAGCTCCCTTGCAGTGCTCCTCTTTCTTAGTATAGTATTTTACTGGCTCCTCCTCCTCCTTACTACCTTCCCCACTATTACTTCCTTCTACCTCCACCACTACTACTACTACTACCACCTCCTGCCTATATATACCCCTGCTTCTCTCCTTTTCGTTAGTGTGACTTTGTAAATGGTCCCAGTCGGACCGAAATGTCGTTGTAAACTCCTTTCTTCTACGTGCGGGTTATTTGTGTATTGTTCCAATCACGGTATTGTGCCTTTTTTTGTTAGCAGGGGAGTTTTGGATTGAGCGACAACTGTGGGGAGACTAACACATGTTCTGACAGGTCGTGTTTGTTTGGTCAAGTGCCGAGCAAATGGTCAGCTACTGACCAATTTATTTACCGAACAAAGCATTCGAGTACCGAACTGTTCGAGTACGGAGCTGTTTGAGTACCAAGGTTCCACTGCACTCACCTCCCTTCCCAATATTATTTACATAACATAATATAATACGTACTACTATACACTTAACACAATAATAATTTGAAAAGCTCTTGTATTTATTTATTTATTTATTTATGTCTTTGCAAATACTAGTACATTGAGATTTTGTATTTACAATAATGGGTTGCAATGCAAAGAAAGCCTCTATTATGCCTAGGCATTATGGGCCTAGTTAACATTATTGGCTTACTGACTACTAAACACTAAGAATTATATCATAGTTGTAAAGTAGAATATTAATTATATCATAGCTGTACAGTATATTATTAATTATAAGTGAATCTAATTTATATAAGACAAAAGATATATTCATATATTCAAAAATGCTTTTAGCGAAACAATGATTCCTGTCGACAATGGATAAAAGGTTCAGAAGTAGTTGTTGAAATTATGATATGGGAATACATATTGAGTATGTGAGTACTGAGTATTTATCATTTAGTCTAGGGTGATTAAATGGCTTTTGATTTTCAGACCAGGTTACTTTAGTATCTTCTGGTAATGAATTCCATATTTTGGGGCCCTTTATGTGCTTAGAGTTTTTACAGTGTGATATGGACACAAGGTACATCAAAGAGAGATCTGCATCTTGTGTTATGGTCATGTGTCCTGTTATGGTTGGTGAGGAGAAATTTGAGTGGTGGGTTTATATTTGCGTGTATTGCTCTGTGTATGTGGTAGGCACATGAGTAAGTATGTATGTTTATAATGGTGAGCAGATTTAGACTTTTGAAAATTGGAGGAGTATGCTGGCAGGAGTGGGAATTTGTTATCATTCTGACTGCTGCCTTTTCCTGGGTTATTAGAGGTCTTAGGTGATTTAATGTTGTTGATCTCCATGCACAAATTCCATATGTGAGATAAGGGTATATGAGTGAATGGTACAGTGCCAGAAGAGCTGATTGTGGAACGTAGTACTGTATCTCTGATAGTATGCCTACAGTCTTAGAGATTTTCTTGGTGATTTGTTGTGTATGTGTCTGGAACTTAAGGCTACTGTCAAGGTGGATACCTAGGAATTTTCCCTCTGCAAATCTTGTGACTGATGATCCATTTAGCATTATGGTAAGTGGAACATTTGCAGCTTTGTTTCCTAACTGAATGAAATAGGTTTTATCAGTATTCAGGATAAGTTTATTAGTCATCATCCAGGCAGATATTTTCTGCAATTCGGCACTGACAGTGTTGGCGAGTATGACTGGGTTTGGGTGGGAGAAGACGTATGTAGTGTCATCTGCAAATAATATGGCTTTGAGTAGCTGTGATGCATTCGGTAAGTCATTGATGTAGATGAGAAAGAGGAGTGGTCCAATGACACTTCCTTGTGGGACTCCTACTGTGATTGGTTGGGTGGAAGAGTTTGCATCACTTGCATACACATATTGAATTCTGCTACTAAGATATAACTTTAGGTAGTTGAGGGAGTGGCCTCTGATACCATAGTGCGTTAATTTAAAGTACAGCAGTTCATGGTCGACTGTATCAAAAGCTTTACGTAAATCAATGGAAATGCCCAGCGGGACTTCTTTCTTTTCGAGTGCAGTATATATTAGTTCTAGCATGTGTATGACAGCATCATTTGTGCTTTTATTATAAAACAACTTTAACAATAAAACAACTTGCCTTTTATTTTAAAAGCAGGCAAGCTGTTTATGTCTCCTGCCTTGTTTTTAAGGGTGTTGATGATGAGCGAGACTTCTAGTGGGTTGGGTGGAGCTAGGAATAGTGCATTTGGGTAGGTACCTATGAGGTAGTCTGATGGACGGGTGTTTGAGCTTGGTACTTTGTTCGCTAGATTTTCTCCGAACAATGATAATAAACAAAAATAATATTTTTATTATTACTATTATTATTATTATTTTATGCATTAAACCATATGAGACATATAGAATAGGTATTACATTACAATAATAACAATCAATTTAAACATTAAATCATTCTAGGCAAAAATAACATGAGGTTTAGGTGTTTTTTAAGAAGAGGGGTGATGGATTAATGGTGTTTAAATACAGTAGCAAGACAAATGACCTAATAAATTCTCACAAATTCCTGTTGCATACCTAACCCTTGGCATTTGATAAAGTTTAAGTAAAAAGACAAACAAACATGAATTAATTAATCAGGGCTTCAAAAATATGAAGATTCTTACACTATGATGGTATTCTTCCAGGGAAAGTAATAAGACTACAGGGATCATACAGACTCTGGGAAATAAGAATATTTTTTTTATTTCTACAGGTACATGATACAGGTGATGCAGACCGAGTTAAGATTAGCTAATACGTATTTGTTCAGATTTTTAACCCAGAGGATTTGCCACCCAGGGCACCCCAAGAAAGATAGTGCATCATTGAGGAGTGTGTCTTATTTCTACTGTGGTCCTTTAATCTTGTTCCCCGGATGTGACCTGCACCAGCTGACTAACATCCAGGTACTTACTTATTGCTAGGGGAACAGGGACAGCAAATGCAAGAAAACATACCCATGCTGTGGTATACTAAATAGAAAGCCACTGGTTATGCAGAGCATTTCTTACAACTTAAGTTAATCTCGTTCCCCCAGGATACAACCCACAACAGGTGGCGGACACCCAGATACCCACTTACTGTTAAGTGAATAAGGGCAACAGGTGTTGGGAAACATCCCAAATATTTCACCTATGCCGATGATCAATCCCAGACCCCTGAATGTATGAGTGGAGGATACTACCAACCACATCACAAGCGTTACAGGTAATTAGGACTGATCCAGGAGCCCATCCCTCCCGAAATACCTAGGCATGCTAATGGTCTTCTTTGTAATTAATATTTTATAGCATGTAAACCACACATTGTAAGCTTTACAAGGAAACAAACATTTTGATTTGATTTGATTTTCATTTTCTGACAAGAGGGTACAGCCCCCAAGGGTACTTGATATTAACATACATCAGCATTTTGTGTTTGAAGACGATCAGAAGAAGCATTCTGTAGTTATTACACGGGGAAACAATTTGCTTAATAAGCTTGGCAAACCGAAACTCTCACAGCTCAGTGTGACAAGCTATATAGTGTAAGTTTATTTAGGTACAGGTACACATGAGCAGTTACACAAAATTATGTGATGTCACAATTATCATATGACAAATGTGTAAATTACCTAGGATAACCCAAACACAAGTCAGAGGAATCTCTTACCTGTACACTGGCAAGAGGCCTTAGACTGACATTATATGGCTCCCCCCCCGTGTACACGGTGAGCAGCACATGATAAGGGTGAGCAGGTGTTATCTCAGTGTTACGTAGCTCATCCACATGTACATGGTGAACAGTAAGTGTGAGCAGGTGTTATCTACACACACACACACACACACACCCTCCCTGCCACACTAACACTAACTACACTCAACCTCAACTCCTCAAGCAACCCAATACAAATGTCCCTTTGACCTTTTTTGGGGGGTTTATCATAGGTAATTTACACTCTTACTAGGTATGATAATTGTACTTATGTGTACCTGTACCTAAATAAACTTATTTACTTACCCCCATTGGACATACGTCACTTTATCTGACTTTTTTGGGGGTTATCCTAGGTAATTTACACACGTTACCATGTATGATAATTTATGTAACTATGACATGCTAAAGGTATCTAACCAAGACAGGATTCGCAGCAATGGCTTCAAGTTGGGAAAATTTAGATTCAGAAAAAATATAGGAAAACACTGGTTTGGCAACAGTTGTGGACGAGTGGATTATTATTATTATTATAATCAAGGGGGAAGCGCTAAACCCGGAGGGTTATACAGCGCCTGGGGGGGGGGGGATGTGGAAGGCATTCAGGCTTAATTCGGGGAACCGGAGCACAGATCCAATTCCCTAAATCAAGAGCCCCTCACCAACATCAAGGAACCTTCCTTGAGGGGTGGACGAGTGGAACAAACTCCCGAGTAGCGTCATTGAAGCTAAAATATTGTGTAGTTTTAAAAACAGGTTAAATAAATACACGAGTGAGTGTGAGTTAGACCTGCCTCGCATGGGCCAGTAGGCCTGCTGCAGTGCTCCTTCTTTCTTATGTTCTTATGTATTAATGTGTATCTATACTTAAATAAACTTACTTACAGTGTTTGATTAATAATAATAATAATAATAATAATAATAATAATAATACCACTAACATCAATAATATCAACGGCATCAACAACAATAATAGCAGAAAGAGCAACAATAACAACAGCACAACAATAATAGCAACACAACAATAACAACAGCAACAGCAGTAGCAACAACAATAATAACAATAACAACAACAGCAACAGCAGTAGCAACAACAATAATAACAATAACAACAACAGCAACAGCAGTATCAACAACAATAATAACAATAACAACAACAGCAACAGCAGTATCAACAACAATAATAACAATAACAACAACAGCAACAGCAGTATCAACAACAATAATAACAATAACAACAACAGCAACAGCAGTAGCAACAACAATAATAACAATAACAACAACAGCAACAGCAGTATAGCAACAACAATAATAACAATAACAACAACAGCAACAGCAGTATCAACAACAATAATAACAATAACAACAACAGCAACAGCAGTAGCAACAACAATAATAACAATAACAACAACAGCAACAGCAGTAGCAACAACAATAATAACAATAACAACAACAGCAACAGCAGTAGCAACAACAAAATGGAGAAACAGTAATTAAAAGAAGTACATTATTTTTCTGAAATATAAGCATGTTAGTAAGTAAGTAAGTAAGTTTATTCAGGTATACACAAATACAGTTACATAGAATTATCATACATAGCAGCATATGTGTAGAGAACCTAGGATAACCCAAAAAAGTCAGACAGAGTGACTTATTTCCATTGGGGTCCTTTTACCTTATTATTATAGTATAAAGGTTATAATATTTTCTTATTATTCTACAATGAAGATAACATCTTATTATCATACTAAAAAGACTATCTGCTACACCAAGGTCATTAAGACTATCTACAATACGAGGGTCATTACAAGGAATAAGGTAAAATTTACACGTATGTTAGCTAAAAAACAGAAAATCATTCCCCTCCCTTTCTGTAGCTACATTCATCAGACACCTTTTGGCACTCTTCTTGAACTGGTTCACGCTATGACTGGCTTTGACATGTGCGGGTAGTCTGTTCCATTCCTTTATTGCTGTACAATAAAAGGTGTTTGAAGCCTGGCCACTGACTGTGGGTACTACAAAGTTGTGCTCTCTCCCCCTAGTACTATGATTGCTTTGGTTCCCAACCTTGACAAAATTGACAGCAAGATATTCTGGACATTGTTTGTGAGCAATTTTATAAACATGATTTAGCTTCAGTTGTTTTACTCTGTCTTCAACATTCAGCATATCCAACTGCTGTAATTCATCCTGGCCTACATGTTCTCTTGGTCCCAGCCCCAGGATGAATCTTACGATTTTGTTCTGGGTGATTTGCAGTCTATCTTTCAGTTTTTTTGTCAAGGCAGAGTACCAAGAAGAGCAAGCGTAATCCATATGGCATTGTATAAGGGCTAGACATAGGGTCGTGCGAGCCTCAGTAGGTAGACACTGTGCTTGTTATACAGGAACTTCAGTTTGGCATTCGCTTTCTTTACTACACTGTTTCCCTATCAATTCTCCTGACATGCATGGGTCAAAGGGGTATTCCCAAATATTTTACTGATGAAACCAAAGTGATGGCTCCCCATTACATTGAACATTAAAATTATTTACCCTTCTCAGTTTATGTTTCGTGCAAAGAGAATGGCTTCAGTTTTCCCTAGGTGTAATGATAGTTTTGTTGTCTACTAACCATTTGCTGCAGGACTCCAGTTCCAGTGTTAAAACATTAGCAATATCTTGTGGGTCTTTACCTGACACTAACAGAGCACTGTCATCTGCATACAGTAGGAGTTTGCACTTGACACTGATAGGCATATCATTGATATAACATAAGAATAATAAGGGACCCAGAATACTACCTTGGGGAACTCCACATGTTATCGGCAGGGGTTCTGATTCTGTTTTGTTGATTTTGACTATTTGTCTCCTGTTGCTAAGGTAGGACTTAAACCAGTCTACAGAACCTATACCAATAGCTTGAAGTTTATTACATAATATATTGTGGTTGACAGTATCGAAGGCCTTTTGCAGGTCTAAGGTTACCATGCCTATGAGGTTCCCCTTTGACATTTCAGTTCTCAGGTAATCCATCAGATTAATAAGGGAGGTGTCGGTTGAGTAGGATCTTCTAAAGCCCGATTGATAGCTATGGAGAATGTTGTTGTCATTAAGGTACTTAACTACTTGAGAATACACCCTGGCACAAACTGCTATTTAAATTTACATTTAAAAAAAATATTTTTTTTATATCATTTATGAGGCATACAAAGAAGTTACAGCAGATACTAATGATACCAATGTAGGCAATCCAATAATTATGCAGTGCATTTCGAGCAAACTATTCCTAATACCTACACTGAAATCTTGACCTAGCATATTTGTATAAAATACTGTATATATTTTCCAGAAATACAGTAGTTATATGTAAATAGATGGCCATACTGTATTTAACAATATTTATGTCATAGAAAACGGAAAGCCTGCGTCTGGGCAGAAGGACACTCGCCATCTTGGTTTTGAATTTTGTACAAATGTTGGTGTAACTGTAACGTACCTCTGTAATCTGTAAATACCTTTGTAACTTGTCATGATTGTGACCAGACTTACCTGGAGTTCATTACCTTTGTAAATTGTGAGTTCATTACCTTTGTAAATTGTGAGTTCATTACCTTTGTAAATTGTGAGTTCATTACCTCTGTAACTTGCTCAGCTATCAAAACTTTGGAAGTCCAGTCCCTGGACCAATTATTTTACCTCTGTAATCTTTTGACTACCGCCCACAGGATGGGTATGGGGTGCATAATAAACATATTAAACTAACTAAACTAACTGTAATGGGAAGAATTTTTCGTGCTCTAGAGGTTAAAATTGTGTTGACACCTCTCAAATAGGAGGCGAAATTGGTGGACGTGCATTCCTGCATAACTTGAGATATCGGACAACTGGACAAGACAGCTTAGGAACCTCAGATAAGCTCTCTTTGATTTGTGTGTAATTCTGGCCAGCATTATTTTCATAGATTTAGTTAGAGTGAGGTTTTGGTTTAAAAAAAATTACAA